TTAGGTTAGTGTGTCGGCCTTATCTCCCTGTTTACGATGCAGCCTTGAGGACTGTTTTTGTTAAGTCTCAGTGAGAACAGAAATCAGGACGATGACGCCTGCCAGAATGAGATCGGTCGCTGGTGGTCAGCAACAAAACAGGGCTGCATGTAAGGTACAGGCCAGGATGAGCTGGGAAAGGAACGTATCCGTCACAGGACCTGGCACCGATATGTGTGCTTTAAAAGAAAGAAGATTCTTTCCATTCCATTTGGAAATAGTTGCCTTCCCTCCAAAAAGAAAGGAGCTCTGAGCACATGGGCATAGCAGAAGCAAATGTGACAGCAGAGCTCAGAGCAGAGCTAGTCACGTAACAAGGTTACTACATATCCGGTAACCTATCGAGCCAAGGATGTCCACGGAGCGACATGAGCGACATGGCTCCCAAGGCACCCCATAGGGACGACCAGCTGGTGCTGCGAGAGAGCGCTGCAGCACCAGCGATCGGCGCTACGGACAGCTCGCTGCCCAGCATCTGCTGCTGTCTGGACTCCTATGAGCAGTCGCATGGAGCACCAAGGCAGAAGAGTGGAGCCAAAAAGGAAAGCTGTGCTCTGAGGAGTCTGGGTGGTAGCTATAGCTCCTGTTGGATGAACAGTTTTGTCTGCACTGTTACATTGTGCGAAAGACAACTATGTACAATGCAGCGTGTGCTCTCTTACAGAGTCAGGATAACACTGCAGGAAACAGCAGTAAGGAGGGATTGAAGGAGCAGTGGGTGTAAGAAACAGTCAGATGTTCGAGTGTCCTTGTGACACAAGGCCACTGGACGGCCCCAATGCCCAGGCTGTGCGTCAGGAGCGAGGAGCTGCTAAGGTGGCTGGGACTAGCAGAGCCCTGGTGCTGGGTGCGACGTCTTGGAAGGGGCTGCGCTGAGGGACACAGCGACCACCAGTGCCAAGGGCAGTGCCCCGGGCCCTGCTGAGGCTGCCGTGGGGACACGCATAGGGCAGAACTGCTTGGTCGTGTGCGCGGAGCCCCAGGCCGCAGGAAGGAGGGCTAGGGAGACACGAGGAACACCGGCCCTGGTGGGGTAGGATCAGCTCAGAGCGTCGCTCTCCACACGGAGGAGGACTCTGCTAAGCAGCGGCAACAGAGCTCCAGGGAGGAAGGTTTTGTGGGCAGCTCTGCTTTGTGGGACAGCCCAAGCACTTCATAGCTTCCAGGGCCTGTTGCTTGGGCAAAGCCCTTGGCGTTGGAGTGCAACAGATGTGGCTTTAGAGCTACTGGAGCTCACATAGGTCCCTCTGGTGCCTGCTGAAGACGCTGCCTTACCGATGACCATTTCTGGCTTGAACACCTCACCTTGAACCATGATGTTGAAGCAGCTCTAGTTGTTGGCATTGCAAATCATTCCTCAGGGGTTTTGAACAGTGTGTAAGTACCAGGCTGTCAGGAAGGAATCACTTCACATCTGCAATTCTCCCGCTCAGGAAAAAACATTACCCTCTGACACAGTATCTGTTAAGAGTAAAAATACAGAGACACTGCACAGAAAGACAGGGCTGGAGTGCTCTTCACTCAAGCATTTCACTCAAGCACTCCATCACATGGAACAGACGGCAAACTCCTCCCTGCCCCTTTTCTCACCTCCACCTTCAGACTCCTATCCCGCCGTGCCTGCCAGGTCCCGGCAAGTCTGCATCATGCGCAGGGAGCGGCAGGGCCGCGGGCTGGGCAGGTCCCAGATGCCGGTGCCAGCAACAGGGCCTGTCCTGCAGAGCCGGCGCCCGGGAAGGGAAGCGCCCGCGCTGTCCCAACCTCTAGGCAGCGCCTTGTGGGATTCCCCAGCAGGCAGCTTTGCTGACAGCTACCAATTCTGCTGCCCTTGAGAGAGCAAGGGTGCACAAGAAGAGGGTATAAACAAAACCTTGCTTTGACACCGAGACAGAGCAACAGGGCAAAAGAAGAATACTTGAGTGACAGGCCCGGCTCTGCAGACACGGATGAGCTTGGCTTGCACTGGCGTTGCAGGCATGAACAAGGCTGCAGTAGCTTCCGGGCACCGCCTTCCTGTCCACTGAACCTACAGAAAGGGTAAACTTGGGTGAGAGGACTCAGCTCCTGGCCATGAGCCAGGCGGCCTCCACATGCAGTCAAGTTTGCTTACATCAGCAGCAAAGGAAAAACAAAACCAAAACCCAAGAGAACAGAAAAACAAAACAAAAACAAAGGAAAAATGCCCACGGGGTAGCTCTTTCTTTGTGATTCAGCACGTTTCTTGCGCAAGCCTGGCTAATAAAACTCCATACAGTTTGTATTCTGCACTGTCTCAGGGATGCATTTTCACCACCGCAAAACACATCAGACCAGCAGGCCAAGAAATTCTCTTTTTGATCCATTTAAGAGTAGGGGGCATCTTTGGAGAGTTGATCACTTTGGTAATGCCTTGAGTGCTGGGCATTACAACCACTTCACACTTTCAAAAACGTCAGGTTCTTATTCAAGACAATGAACCATTGTTAAATCCTATCCTTTCAGACTCTATAAAAGCAGTGCTCTTACTGTTTTTTTTTCTTTTTTCTTTTTTTTTTTCATTTTAACTAAGATGGCCAAAACCTGCAGACCCTTTCCAACCTGGAGTCTGCTCTGACAGGAACTAGTGACAGGGACAAGGAGCAGAGAGACACGGAGAGATGGAGGCAAAGCACCCCTTTCTAGAGAAAACAGCAAGACAGCAGTTTGCAAGTATACATCATACATTTATTACTGAACAACTCTCTCAACGCCAAAATTGGGCACAGGGATTAAAAATAAAAATTCATTGCACTACTTAGTAAAGCATTACTAGTAACTCTCATAAAAAATGTACAAATCTTGTTAAAAATTTATCAAGGCTTCTAATGATTTGGTTACAGATATTTATAATACCTTTAAAACTACATGTTAAATGATACAATAGAGTATGATTTAAAGAAAACGCTTGACAAAATACAATTCTAACAAAACACAAAAGCTTTCATAATCATTAACAAATCTGAAACACAAGTAGCAAAATGAGGTAACTCAATGTACCAAAGGGAAAACACAGTTTTTATAAAAGCTAACTCAGATAAAAGAAATTCAGTCTCAGATAAAGATAACTCAGTCAAAAATATGCTTTTTGTAAATAAAATAAAATTTAAAAAGAAGTGAATTCCATCCCCAGTATTATATGATGTGTTAACAGCTGTAAAAATCACATTCAAGAGCCTGCACGAAGTGGCCTATGATGAAAGGCTTTTTACTTTTTTTTTCTTTTTTTCTTTTTTCTTTTTTTTGAAAAGAATGCTACAAAATGAGCGCTCGGGATTATCTGTGGGCCTCTCTGTGCACGGAAACGGCCCCGCTGCTGGTGGCGGGGACTCGGAGCGGGACGGGCAGCTCGGTGCCACAGCCCCAGGGTCTGCGCTCCCTCCCGCGCACCGCGTGCTTGTGGGTAGGGGAAAGCGCCTCCTGGCCTCGCTTCCGCACCCGGCACGGCCGCGTTTGTTCCCGTTCCATCGGTACAGGTAGAAATTTACTTTGCAGCTATAAAAAAGACCCTAACTCTTGTAAGACATATGTGGCATATGTATTTTTAAACAACATGATTTCATTAGTTTTAAAAAAATAAATTTTACTATATGCAATTTAACCTGTTTGGCATTGTTGTGAAATCCATTCTTTCCGTGAGAAGAATGTATGTTCAAAGCTGACGTCATGGCGTATTTCTATTTATCTTGGATTACTGGCAGTTATGCACAAATCAGACTGTTTCTGAGAAGCACTTGCATGACTAACAGAAGGGCAAAATTGTGCTTTTGTTTTACTGGAACCACCAGCTGAGACTGATAACAGTCTGAAAACACAACTGATACCAACACATAGCAGCATAAAAACAGCATCAGAAAGGATAAAGAACAAGCTTAAAGCTGGGACTGGCAGCAGGTTACAGCAATATTGCTAAGGGTGCCACGTGAGGCACTGCGGCCCAGTGACGTTGAACTCGGGAGGAAAGGCCTTGATGCAGAAGGGGCCGTCACTGAGTAACTATGGCACAGGGAGGCCTCACTGCTCTACCCGAACATCCTGAAGGCCTGAACAGTCTGAAATGCTTTAAATGAACCTGGTTTCTTCAACACCACAACTAAAATCATTCAGAGGGTAACTGAATCAAGGTTACTTCCCATTTCAGTGTGTTTTCTGTTCTGAAAGATGTTTCAATTTTCTTCTTCTCCTGCAGTGGAATAACTGGAAACCTCACTGTGAAAATCAAGAGAGTTTCTTCTTCACCTTATACTGATCGTGACACAAGCAAAGCAAGAAGCATCTCCCGAGGACAACAGAAACCTGCAGTGACTGAACAAAAATCACCCCATTCTGTGGTACAATGAAACCAAGGGCAAAAAGTCAGAAGTTGTACTTCTCTGAGAAAACCCTAAAAAATTCATTTTATTCATGAAGTTGCAGGAAAAGAACTGTAACCTCTTACAAGTTATTTTAACCGTATACAAACTCCCTTGTAAATGGCAAGAATAGAAGAATGTAAGCGATTAAAGTCAATGTTTGTAAGCTAGTGGATTACATGCTTGGCCAGCACAGTGGCCAAGGCCAAGAGCTGTTGCACAAGACCCACAGTGTCCTTTCCATTTCCCTTCAGGAAAGAAGCACCTGACTGCAGCATCTCCAAAACTCAAGTCTAGCCCAAAATCAAACATATGCAAGTAAAACTCACCTAGGAAAAAAACTAAAATCAGAAGCATTGGTATTTCTGTTACCAATGCAAATCGTCAATATTGCTAACTGCTTTGTGTGATATTGCAACATCAGGGATGTGCCACTTTGAAATCTAGATTTTGCAACATCTGCCTAAGAAAAGGGGTACTCAGGTATGGTCCATCAACGCCCTCCTCAGCGGTGCCCCGAAGCCACCGATGCAGGGGACACGTGGCGGCTCTCGGACTGTCACAGGCAAAAAGGTCTTTACACTGGTGGGCACATCAGGGAGGGATTATTAAACGCCTGCAATTGCTGCACCCATCGCATTCAGTGTGCAACTGCAAACACAGGGAAAGAAACCAGTGTACAGTACTAGTACTGCTTAAATAACACACAAGGTTATACATTGCAGCATAATTAATAGCACACGTCCTCAGGACATGCTGGTATACAGGTTCTCAAGCACACGCATGCCCAGCCTCGCACCCTGGCACAAGCAAACGCTCATTCGCACCATTTGCTCCCACTCACAGTATCGGAAGGCTCTAGGTAAAGTAGATTGCTATATTGTTTGGAGCTACCACTTTTTTTTTTTCTCCTTTCTCTTTTATATAAAAGCACATGCTTAAAGATCACATCCACTGTAATCTCGCAGCAACACTCGGAATGATCACACAAAACCCAGGGAATGTTAGTGCACGCACAAAATTAAGCAAAAGAAAAAAAAAGTCTTCGGAGTTCCAATCACTCTGTTAGTAAAACAATCCCATAATTGTGAAGACTAATTATTATAAGCTTTATAATCGATTAAGTCACACAGTGCAAAAGCAGGTCCGCTGCCCGTGGTGTGTGCAGGGAGGGCTGTGTTCGCAGAGAGCGCCCACGTGCACGAGTGTCCGCCGCAGCCAGGAGCCCGTCCTGCTCACTCGGAGTCGCGGGGCACTTCTGAGGCATCGGCTCTGCAGATGGGGCACGTTCGATTCGCCTGCAGAACGAGAGGCACCAGGTTTGCACTGCCGGCCCCGCAGCCCCCGTCACCAGCGTGCGGCACTCGCAGCGCCCGAGCCGAGAGCTACGGGCAGCACGGGGCCTTGAGCTGCCTCCATTTGACATTGCTGTTATTACAGTCACTTGACAGGTTGAATGAAAGAATAATGATAGAAACTATGTGCATTTTATCTGCAAATAGCAGTTGAAGCAGCAAGCTGGCCTTCCCCTAGCGGGTGATCTTACTAATGCGACACCAAGCTGCACCGCACTCAACACCTGCGAGGTGAGCGGGAAGCGCAGCGCCATCCGGCACACAGCCTACACGGAGAGGGATGCTCCAGCCTGGGCGGCCCCGGGACACGAGCTCACGCCAGCAGCAGCATCTCCACGCTCTCCCGGCTTCCGCCCAGAAAAACACCACGGAGACTTGGACAGAGACAAAACAGACCAGGAAAAAGGACCACGGAAAAAAGGTTTAGCAAAAACTTACAATTTACTAACACTTTAGTAAAAAAGCTAAGCTAAAGAAGATGACCTGCCTAGAACAGATACTCAGCACTGAGTAATACACACAATAGTAGCTCCATGCTTAGCTCCTCAGTACATGACTGTGACAACACATCCCCTGCAACTCTTGCATACTCCCCGAACGGCAGGACACGCCAGACTTCACCTCCGTGAGCTGCTGGGAGCACGTTCCCAGGAGGCACACCTCTTCCTAAGCACAGGAATCTTTTCATTTTTAAACATTTTACGTGTTTACAGAGTAATGAGAAGGACCCCAAGCCAAATATGCCACACTTATGCTAATGTAGGTTAGAATATTTTAAAGCACATTTAAAAGTACATTTAAAATATATTTTGAAGTATAAATTCATCTTCTTTTCTGTCAATTACTAATGTTCTGATGGTCTTACAGGTTTACTTATCGTTATTATTTCTTTACAGAATTGTTCAAGGACAGATTAGAAGGATTGGACAATCAATTCAAAAAACATTTCTTGCTCTTTCATTATTGATTTCATACATGATGACAATGTTTCTACTTGGTCTCTATTCTGTAGTTATATTATCCTTCACACCCTTCAGGTAAAAAATACCTGAATTCAGGTATAAATTCAGGTTAAAAAATAAAAAGGCAAATTCTTCCAGATGAAGCAGTCTGATGAAAGAACGTAAATAAATACTCCAGTATTTGCCAATTATAGCATGAAGCAGACCATACAGCAAGTATATTGCTAAAATATAAATTCCTGACAGGAAACTGCTGAAAGAAATCATCTAAGCCAGGACAAAATGAATTGCATGCAAACTTAAGTACTGTTTTTTAAACAAGATTCAATTATAACCAAATCTGCTTAGGATTTTTTAGTGTTCTAAGCCTTTTATGGAATTAACTTCCTCTCCTGACTTTCACCAGGCCTTTCTTGCAAAGTGGAAGGAGGACATAATACCTGTCCCCCTAACTACTTACTCCTACACGCAAACCAACTTTCTGTAATACAACAGGACACAGCTACACAATGAACTGTTTTATTTCCTGAAATTTCTAGCTAAACCGACCTGTGAAGTGTTCCTAAAATTCCACAAAAACAACTGCATTTCCTTGATACTAAAACTGTTGGAACTAGGGTAAAATCTTAATCGTCTATCATCATCTATTCTGAAATAGAGTATGCCATTCCTAGAATTAAATGTAAGGTAAGTTCTCCTCATCTTCGGGCGAGTTCTTGTGACAGAGGCAGGTCGTATTTTCCAGCTCTCCTTTGGGACAACTACTACATCTCACTTGAAAAGCAGACCCGTCACGTACTCACATTCTGGAAGAGCAGTGGGACACGAAAGCCAACCCCTGTGCTGCGGAACAGGGGAGAGCAGAGCAGAGAGCACAGCAGGGACAATGTCCCCCTCGCTGCATGCACGTGTGCACTGCGGCTCTGCACGAGTCCCTGCGGCGCTGGAGGGTCCCCACGGCGCCGGCGGCCGCGCGGTGCTGCTCTGCAGCGCCAGGCACACGGCGCCTCGCACCGCATGAACAACGGGGTTGCTCTGGAGCTTTGTCCTTTTTGGGTTCCGACAGCTATAGACTGTGCAACACGGCTTTGCTTTTTCAAAATTCGTTCAGCTCGCTAATGTCTTCATTAAAACTACGCAAAGTTTGAAAGCATCAACGTAAGTCAAAGCTTCTAGCATAAGAACAAAGAAAAATCCACAGGTGGCAAATCTCTTCTTTCAAGAGACATACAAATAAATCAGCTAAAACCAAATAAACACTTATTTCTCAGTGGAAAAAAGAAATACTAAAACCTTCTACACTTCTGCTCTGCAGCCACCTTACAGAATTCATCCACATTACGTGAGCTGGATGGTGCATGACATGTGTGCTCATCTGAAGCAGAGAAGACACCTACTGCTGCTGTGGCCAAGGCAAACTTCTCCAGAGGTCTGGAATGTGCTGGGAAACAGGCATACTAGCAGGGAAGCCCCCAGCTCCTCACGTGGAGGTAAGCTGGTAAGGGCAGGAAAGCCACCTTCCAACAGGAGGAGTGCATGGCTATACTGGAAATAGAGCTGTATTAACAACTCATGAAGAAAGCTGTGAAACACATAAAGGAATGCACAAAAAAAGTTATGTATGTATACAAATACACACATACATCCATACACACACAAACACACACACATATATATGCATATCTTCCCATTATCATGTTTTCAGGTTTGCATATACAAGGGCTTTTGGAGGCTTTCGCTGTAGAGGCACTAACTAAAATAGACTAGATTTAGTTACAAAGGATTTTCTTTTTTGGTTTGTAAGCAAAATAATCTGTATTTCAATAAGAGATCATATTCTGTAAGTGTGCTGTCATGATGTAAATACACTGGTTCAGAGACCCTCCAGGAGGCTGAATGATCCTCACCCAGCTACTCTGGGATAGAACTGTGTGTGTGTGTTCAACAATGAGCAGTTCCAGGCTACACTCCCTAACCGCACTCCCATTAGCTGCAGATCGTGCACATCTTTCACCTCACTTCTCAAGAGAGCTGAGGCCTTTGTGCTCATATATTTCTCCTATGGCAAGTTTTCCTTTAGATGATACTGCTGTCGTAAGAATGTTAAAATACAGTCACAACCTGAGACATGAAGTTTTACGAATTAAAAAAAAAAACGGAGGTTTTCCTTCCTCTTGCTGATTTTCAGACACGTATGTGGATAGACGATAAGGCAGGACAGCAGCCTAGCATTGAAACGCTCAATTACTATTCAGCAATGTTCCAGAAACACTGACATAGCGACAGGTTCTGCAGAAGCCTTTGTCTGTGCCAGGTACTGCTGCCGAAAGGCTGTTTTGGATCCCAATTTAAAAAAAATTTACCATTATTCTTAATAACAAGGTAGCCAAAATGACACTATAGATATGAATTTACCACTTCAAGCAGACTTTAACGTGAATTTCCTCCATGTTAAAAATACGGCTTCTCTACAGCAACACATATATAAGCAAATACTCAAGAGAAAAAAATAACAAGTTTTGGGGGGGATATTTTTTGGAGGGGGGCATTTTTTCATTGGGGTATTTCTTTTTCTTTTTTTTTTAAATCTATAGAAACACAGAAATCTACATTATGAAGCTAAAGAAATTGCAAATTTATAAAAACTATAAATCTGTGAACTGCACCCTATATACTTGTTTTCTATAGGTTCATTGCAATTTCAATTATTCTACATATGTAAATCTTGATATAATAAAATATTGAAAAAAAGATGAGACAAAACAAGAATTGATATCCTGTTAGTAACAAATCTTTATAATGCAGCTTGCAGAGATACCTACTTATCATCTCCTGCTTAATCACATTACTGGTCCTTCCCACAGGCTGCTATGCTCTGATCCCACTGGGCTGTCCTGCTTCTAGGTGTCTCTTTCTCTTGCCCTCCTCATAAATAGTTTTGAAAGAGCATGGCACACGTCGTATGTGTAAATCCATAACTATATGGTAAATCTTATCTACGCAATTTTGAATGTAAATACATATATGCATACACAGGACATATACATACGTACATATGTGTGCATACATCTACCCACATATATACACACAAACATACTTTACATGCATTATACACATATATGCACATACACATATACATATCTGACATGCTTCAAAACCACAGAGAAACAGACAAACTCCGTATCAACATTCAATTTTACTAACCAGGATACACAAAACAGTGCTAAGGGTCTGCCATCAGACAAACCCTAGTTTGTACTTCCTGTGTTGCTATAAACTTGGTTTTGTTGGCATTGCCTCGCAGAAACAGAAAACAGCAAGATCTGTCAGCCAAAAATCATCCCCTTTTCCTTATGCCAAAGACTTCTTTAAAAGCACTCCCTCTTTAAGTGTTAAGAAGCAGTGAAAGGACGCAATGCCTGGGGCCTGTGGGCCTTCCTAGGCTAAGTATTGCACAAAGGAAGCAAAAGAGACATGCAGCAGAAGAATAACAACATTAACCCCCAACACTCCCCAAACCCATGAAACCCCTGGCCCCCAAGACCGCATAATAAATTCCCCATTTCTATTTATTTGTTTTTACCTTAAGCCATTTATCGACACACTTGGCATGGAACTCGTGGTTACAGGGTAGGACTCTAAGTAGCTGCCTTGACTCAAAGTCACACATGCACACTACACACCTAAAAAGATAAGATGGCAAAATTTCAAGAAATCCGCTTTTCAAGAATGACATATTTGTATTCCATCATCAGCCCGTAAGGTATATCTGCAACAGGGTAGCAGGTTTGCTTATGTGGTAGCTACTGCAGTGAATATTTATAGTGGTAAATCTCTAATGTACCAGTGTAAAGCGAGATTTGCCTTTCTGCTTAAGGTAATTTCAAACTATAAAGCAAGGAAAGGCACAGAGCTCATCACCAGAACAAACATATGTTGATACGGACAGGAAGTATTAACCTGTAAGAGCTTCCTTTCAGGTCTATCTTTCTATCTAAAAGAAGTAATAGTGAGAATCTGTGAAAACATATTGATTAAAGATCACACACATTTTAGTAGAGAAATTTCCCCCCTTGTTCACATATACACTAATATTCTATTAAAAATACTTTTTCTTCAGGGAGGTTGTGAACTTAAAAAAAAAAAATTTTGATTACAAAATTGATTCCCTTTGCCTACTTATGTTAAAAGCCATGATGAAGATAACTGTAACTGGAGTAAAAAAAAAAATCTTAATTATAAACATTAGACAGCATTTGGCATTAAGTCATTTGACTATCCTTCTACCTACAATGCATTTTCCACTTGGTTATGCTGATCTTTCAAAGTTAGGGGTTTTTAAGAATCAGAAAACACACCCTTAAACCACTGACAAATGCTTTTTAAGAATCACATTGAAATTAAACACTTGAAAGTATTTTAACACAGGCTTAATTCCCAGTTAACAATGTCTCTTCAGTGTCTAAGATACTGAACTTAACCTTGAAAGAAACCTTTCTTTAACTTAATTTCCTGAAATTCTGAGCTACTAGATTGAAACATCTTTAAATTAAGCGAGATGAGATAGAAATTTTAAAGTTAGGAAGAATAGTATTGAATAGCAGTCCCAAGAAAAAAATATATCTTTACTGAGACATGACTGCTTTTAAAGTACTTCCATAAACACCTTTGGCGTAAGTGGGTTTCCATTTGAAATAAATTATAATAAAGTCACAAAAATTGCTCAACTTTGAGAAATGTACTTACAAGGTCTGTTCTGACTGGTGGCTATTGGGATTGAACCGGTACGATGGAAGCTGCTCGATGTCTGCCTTGGTCAGGCCTCGGGGCTTTGCTTCTCCCAGACGTTCTGCCAAGTTCAGCAGTGCCTGCAAGACACGACAGTTGCACATTTTAAAAAACATAGCTCAAACAAACATCAGACAAGTTGGGCTGGAATCACCTCTTCTACAATAACACGTCATCCTCCCACTCGGTAGCACACGAGACTCCACCAGGAAACCCTTAAGATCTCACCTCTCCCCTCACAGCATGAGCTGAACAAAACACTTTTCAGAGCTCAACTACTTTTCTGAATTATTCCAGATGTACTCTTTGTGATTTTGAAGCCCCCATGATACAATTCTTAATTACTCTTTCGGCTTTTTGATTAGTTCTTTACTTTTCAAGGCTAATGAGAGGAATTTGTTGTCAAATTTATTTCCACAGCAAATATGCAACAAGTTTGGCCCTCCAAGTACTTAAAGGGACAAGGTCTGATTATTACTAGCCAGCTGAGTCACAGCAGGGACATTTTATCCTGAGCTCTGGAAAACAAAACATGACATCGACCTTAAATCATTTTTGGCTAAAATCTTCTGCTCAGTTTTATGCGCTACTTATCACAGCTAATTGCTGCTCTGATGATTAATCTGCCCTCTGTCATGTATATGATTTGAGCTGCTTCACAAGGATACTGCGAAAAATATCAGTATGAACTTGACTGATAGAAAACAAAAGGTAAAGAGATACAAAAGAAAGGCTAGCTGACCATTTTGAGTTTTTGATTTGAGTTTTTCCTGAGGGTCTCTGAAGAAGTGAAGGCACCAAGGCCGTCAAAGCCTTGCAATTAGCTTCATTTATTTTACTGTTCTAGATTTAAAATATTCTGCAAAGTCATCACAGCGCAAAAACATAACTTAATTCGTTCTTTTGAATATGCTTTACTTCCATTTGATAATTGAAATTCCAAAATAGAAGAGAAGCATACAGAACAAAAAGCCGATTCAATGATCACTGATTTAGAAGGGTAAGATTTGAAAGTGTGGGGTTTTTTTTCTGGATTTTGCCCTCACGGTGATTATCTTTACTTCAAGGACAGAAGCAGGACTGAAAGCAAAGAATAATTCCATTGTGTGGACTATTTGAGTTTTTCAAATATATCTGCGGTTCCCATACCAACCTCATAGTTTTCCACTTCCCCATCTTCCACATCCAACTCAAAGCTGAAAGCTGGTCCAACTGCCGGTGGCACTGGGAGCATTGATCTACTATGGGAGCAAGTAATGACAAAGTTCAGCACCTTGCTCAAGAACAGCACACAGATTTACAGCTAACGTGAAGTAACCTTACTGATCCCTCTTAAATCCAAAAGTTCTAAGACAGTAAAATGGTAAGCATGAGGTCAAGAACTAACATCTGATATGAAAGGGCTGAAAGAACAGGTATTCCTGTCACTTTTGGGTACTCTTTATACTGCCTTTTATATGAATGTTTATTGCTGGGCTTCACCTGACACTTCATAGCAAGGCTCAGCATTACTACAAAATCTACATCTCTTGATTGTCACACATCATGGGGAACTAATATTAGTACTGAACCAGGGATTCTGATGCTAAATTTAAGTGTATAAAGTATCACACAAGGCAGGGAACCCTAACTGCACCTGGCTGTGCAATGCCAAACCGCAGGACGTTCCAAAAGGCACAGTGGATATAATCAGACACACCACTGGACCAACTTGCATGGTGAAAGCAACCTGAGACTTGCCTTCCCATAGACTGTGATGCTGGGCAAAGCAGAACCTTTTGGAATATTTAGGCTAGATAGAAATTTTTCCTCTTTTAAGTGAACAAGCATTTGTCGCCCTCCAGACAGGGAGGAACTACAATAATAAATGCATTGCACTAAAAGCTTAATCTCAATGAATTCACCAGGAATTGCTGTGCTCCACTCTGTACTGGAGAGACAGACAAGGCACTATGATGCCTGAGGTGCAAAGCTCAACAGCTTCACTGTGTGGAAGGTATCTGGGGGCCACTTCCATGCTAAAACCGCACGGGAAGAGACCTCGATCCAGAGGCCCCACAAGGAGAGACAAAGGTTGGTTAATTCAGTGTCAGTGCTGCCCAGCCAAGTTTTTGAAGACAAATTTTTACTTGTCTTCAGTATCTTCAAGAAGACTTCCACCAGAAAGAGCAAGAAAACAGATACCAAAACTACAAAGGATGAAACTAGTGAAATTTCACTTTTCCTCCTTTGATGTGTAAACTGTTCAGAGCAGGCTGAAGTCTTTTCGAAGGAGATCTCTGAAGCGCTGAATTGTGCGTGTTGCTGGCACAGAGCGAGCAGGGAAGGAGCCGGGCGGCTCGCACGCCCGCAGCCCCGCACACTTCCAGTGGAGCGGAGGGAGGAGGAGCAGGAGGCGCCTCTGGCACTTACAGCACGTAGGGCAGCAGGCTGGCAGGGTAGGGCTGCGGCGGCACCGGCGCCTGCGATCGGTACCTGCTGCGGCCCGGCAGCCGTCGCGGCACAAACGCTGGGTAGGACTGCAGGGGGAGAGACGCAACGCTCAGCACCTCCGCTCCTTAACTTGCTGGTTAACAAGCTGAAAGCCCAACACTGAAATCCCTCGTCATTAAAGCATTACCCGCCAAAAACCCTCCCGCTCCAGTCAGAGACACATAGACCCTCATTTCTGATAACAGCTGCTATGACTTAAACATAATCACAGCCTTTTGTGGGAGAAAGCAGCCATGCACAATGCAAGCCCCTGCAGGGCTGCTTTAGGAGACCCACGGGAGCTGAACTCCTGGTTCCTCTCCAAGTTTAGAGGCTCAGCCCAGTAAAGGAAGAGTTTTAAAAGAAGTACATATACATATATTTACTCCTGTGTTTAAGGTTTTGATCTCATTGTGCAAAATTTCTTGTACTAACTATTGAAATGGGTGCACACATAGTCAAAAAAAAAACCACTCAAAAGCAAAATGCATTTTTCCAGAAATACTCAAAGTAGTAATTATTAAGGATTATTCAGAGCTGAAATTCATATTGCTATTGAGTTTATATTCAAAAATCTTAAGGATTTTTTTTTGAAAGAAAAAAAACCAAATGTTTTAATAGCATGCTTTTCTCTCTCCATGCTTGAAACTTTGGAACACAGAGAAACCCAACAAAACAAAAGATTAACCTGAAAAGAAATTGACTTAACAGCAGAAACATTATTGACAGCCACAATCATGCATAAAATGTACACAGTAAAATTATCACTATGTAAAATAAACATAGTCTTTTTCTTGAAAGTAAGATCTCAAACCATATACAGTAAATATCAGTTTTATTGCTTGGTGAATTTTGTGTTCTAAACAAAAGCACTGGAAAGTGCTGTTTTCACTTTTAGGTCTAGGACTTCTAGGTCCCATTTTCACTTTTTAGGTCCTCTGAATAAAGGACAGCCAGAAATGTGGCCATTCCATAGTAATTTCATTATAAAGCAAATACAACCAAACTTTGCTAAAAATGACTTGAGTCACTAGAGATTTAGGATTTGCTTTTTAAAAGACCATATGATTACTCATAACACACCAGTGTTCTGCCCCTCAGCCAGCGATACCCAGCCCAAGATTGAAGCATGAGGGTGTACAGACACTACATAACCTGCGATTTCAAAAACACATTCTTTTGTTCTCTATTTACTTTTAAAATCTGAACTTGGAAATCAAGAAGATCTCACTGTACCCAGGAAGTTTAATTGTAATTTCTCTATCAAGCATACAAATCAAATACAAGAAATTTATGGAATATTTTGAAGTGTGTCTGGAACTGTAGAAGTGTACATCTTTACTACCTGCATACTTTTAGCTTAACATTGAGACGAATAATTCTTTTTAAAGTGTGGAGCTGTATTTGAGTTTTAAACAGCAAACGTTTAATTTCATTCAGAGATAGGCTGCATTACTTCAACAACACTAAGGAGAAATATCTGTATGTCCTTGAAGTCACAGGGCCTAAAATTCAATCCTCCTTAAAAAAATTTAGGGATAACAGACCACTAAAAGCTTTTATCAAGTTGATGACATATGGCTAAATAAAGCAATACAAATCAAATAAGCCCAGAACCTAAATTTGACTTGCAGCTCCTCCTTCAAGCCTTTAGCAAAAGACAGCGTTTTATGAAAGGTCCCAGCTGCAACGCAGGGATCCTGGCACAAAGCCTGGACGCCTGGGGATCCTGACCCCAGCAGCACCATCCTCGGCACGGATTTCATCCCAAAGTAGGTTTCACATTTTTGGCGTGGCTGCTCTTTATCTGCACCTTGTCCTCCTGCTCACCTTAATGCTCTCCTAAGGCAAGACTCACTGCCTCAGGGGCACTACCAGACCATGTGCAAGATGGAAGCACTCTAAGGCTGCTTGCAAACACCCCAAAGAACTATCATTTTCAAAGCATTGTAGCTTTCCTGACCTGTGTAAATTCAACACACTTAAGGAACAATTAGCAGAAGTGCAAGTGACGCTGGATTTCTGAACTGTGCTTATTAGTTTCTGCAGTAGAAGTGCTGGACTGTGGTAATACAGAGGAGGGATAATTTCCAAGCAACTGCTATTGCACACACCACAAGTAGCATTATCAAAAGTCACCTGCTGATGTCACTAAGTAAGTCGCCCTTAGCTTAATTACAATGAACTCAATTGCAAGAAGTGCCACTTTTCAACCAAATCTGCTAGAGAATAAAGATTGAGATTCAGCATGAATGAGAATGTAGTGCAGAAGGCAATACTTACTACACCAAATGACACGTCCTGGTGTAAAGGGTCGTGGGCTAAGAATTGGAGAGGAGCTGAGGGAGGCAATGTTGGTGGATGGACTGAGGGAGGGTATGTAAAACCTCCTACAGGAAGATGTTCTCCAAGCAGCTCTACTTCATTTTCTATTCTTTGAAGTGGCTGAAAGAAACACAGGCTTTGTTGCATTAATACAGATGCAATTTTCCCCACTGAAGAACTGCCATCCCAGCTGTACAACTCTGAGCTGCTCTGATCAGTTTCACAGTGTATTTGTATGGTCACAGTGTCTACTTTTTTCAGAGTAATACCTGGAAAACTACCAAGAAAACAACACTACCATAGCAAATATTACACTATGAATTTGAGCTAAATTAATCTCCTCCAGCTAGCCGTGGTTGTAGATTAGGAGTTTCTATAATCTAACAAATACAGGAGGGGCTTTAATTTTCTGCGTCTTGTGATTTTTTAAAGAGAAATATTGCTCTCTTTCTGGCCAGGCTGCTGTCTCTGTGAAACGATATGAAAGGAAAAAAAATAATCTGAAGACCTTTGCAGAAAATATTCTTTTTTATCTCATTGGCCAGTGTGACAGCTAAAGACAGACATAAGATTTTGCCATATAATTTGCAAATGACATGGATGGTGGACGCGGCTATTTAGTGGTATTAAACAGATCATGATGCTCAACAACGAAGCAGACGCTTGTCCTACCAAGGACAGTCCAGAGGTTTTGAAGCAAGGATTTCCAGCTTAGTCCTGTGAGACAGTGAACTGTAATAAATCTGTCAGGGCCTCAGAATACACCCAAACTCTGCATAGACCGATCCTTCGCCTCAGTCTTTTCTCCTTATACTTCTCAGTCATTAGGCATGATGGAACTCTGACAAGATGGACCAGATAAAGTAGTCTTCAAACTAAAGCACTGCAGGAATGTAAGCATTTATTATCCAGTTTATCAGATGGCATACGCAAGGAATCAGCTAATAACCTGCATAACAATAATAATTATAACAAAAATAACAACAATAATAATAATAAAGAGCTGTTAAGCTGAAGAAAAGAGCTCTAAATCATTCTCATCAACCATAAATGAGAATGATCTATAAACTGCAGCAGGAAATCAAAGGTTTCTTAGGAAAGAACTCAGTAATTACATAATAAGTAAACAACACCACTGTTTTTCCCCTCAGTAACTCCATTAAAAGCAGGAGAATTGGCAGGTTCCTGGTTTATTTGCTTTCTTGAGATTTATGAGGAATTTATAAATAACTTTCTGCTATTTATAACTGCTTTTTTGACTTTATAGCTTTCTGCTATTTGTAACTTTCTGTTATTTATAAATAACTTCCTGCATTCTGCTACTCCTGACACAGTGTGGGGAATAAAAACAATATGAGATCTGTGGGCAGTTGCAGGACCACAATCTCAGTGCACTTACAGAGATATGGAGGAACAGGTCATATGCCTTGGGTGCTACCCTGTGCTTTTCAGGAAGAAAAGATGACCCTGTGCTTTTCAGGAAGACAGGATAGGACAGTGAGATGGTGGAATTGGTCTTTATGTTACAGAGCAACTGGTTCTACCTAGGGGTGGATAAAGAAGGAACTAAGAGCTTACGAGCAAGGATTAGAGAGAAGACCAAAAAAATGGGGGATACTGCTGTGGACACTTACTACAAGCCACCTGATCAGGAAGAAGTTGTCCTTTGGGCCCCTTACAGCAAGCCAGAAGTAGCCTCATGATCTCAGGCACTGGTTGCATGGAGAACCGTGGTATCTGCTGGAAAGACTTGGCACAGACAGTCCCAGGAGCTCCTGCAAGGCACTGAGGACAACCTTGTGACAGATGGTGGAGGTGCCAACAGGGAGATCTGTGCTGCTGGACAGTTGTAATAACAAGCAAAGAATGAGCAACTGGACGTGTGAACGTTGGGAGCAACTTAGCTGCAGTGCGCATGAGATGGTGGAGTTCAGGATGCTGCCAGGAGGAAGGAGGTCAATGACTAGGATTTCAACCCTGGACCTGAGGTCAGGAAACTATGGCCTCTTCAGGAACCTGTCTGGAGGAGTCCTCTAGGCTAAGGGTATAGAAGGAAGCAGGGGTCCAGGCAAGCTGGTTAACATTCAAGGACCACTTCCTCCAAACTCAAGATCAGTGCACTCCTGTGAGTAAAAGTCAAGCAAAGTGGGCAGGAGACATGCATGAATGAGCAAAGTGCTCCTGGCAATATCCCAAAGCAGAAGAACGAAGTACAGAGCTGTGGAGAGATGGGCATGGTGCTTGGGAGGAATACAGGAATGTGCAGACTACGCAGTGATGCAAGGAGGAAAGTTAAGGCCTCCTGGAATCAAATCCAGTAACGGATGTCAAGGATAAAAAAAACCTGTTTCCTCTGGTGTATCAGCAGCAAAAGGAAGACTAGGGAAAATGTGGGTCTACTGCTGAACAGGCTGGGTATCCTCGTGACAAAGGATACAGAGAAGGCAGAGTTACAAAATACGTTCTTTGCTTCAGTCTTTATCACTAAGGCCAGCGCTCCAGGATCTCACACCCTGAAAACAAGGAAAAGTCTGGAAAACGGAAGACTTTCTCTTCATCAAGGACTGGGTTAGAAATCAATCAGGCAAACCTGACACACACAAATGCGCAGCCCTGGCTGGATGCACCCACAAGTGCTGAAGGAGCTAGGGCACTTTGCATCACCTCTGCAAAGTACCAGAGAACAGCGGAGGTGCCTGAGGACTGCATGAAAGGCAGTGTCACTGCAGTCTTTAAAAACAGCAAGCAGGAGAACGTAGGAAACTAACTAAATGCTGGTCAGCCTCAGCTCTATACCTGGAAAGACAGTTGGACAGCTCATTCTGGATGTCATCTGCAAGAATATGCAGCCGATGGAGTCTCCAAGGGGCAACCACCCTTAACCAACAAGACAGCCTTCTATGAAGGAATGAATGGCTGGGTACATGAGGAGGGAGCGGAGGGGGTTTCCTATCTTGACTTCAACAAGGCTTGCAACACTGTCCTCTCATGATATGTTCACAGGTAAGTCAGGAAGCGAAGGCTAGATGGCCATGCTGGCCCGCAGGCACCAGTGTGACCTTGAAAGCTATGGCCAGTGCTCCCTGGCCAGCGAGTTCTAGTGAGAAAGACAAACAGACTGACACAAGCATACAGATAACCCCACAGTCAGAGCTGTGGGGCAGAAACGTAATTTCTCCCCTCAAATTCAAAACATGGTCACCTTCTGCTGTCTCTTTGCTCTCTAATACAAGGCCACTAACTTTTCAGCCAGTGAGCTGAAGCTGAAGTAGTCAGTTTTCACAAGTGAAAAACAGGAAGAAGGGAGAGATTCTTGGTTTATGAAGGCTTCCGAAAGACCTAAAGCCATAATGGTTTACCATTCTAAGGAAAACCCTGGTCATTTAAAGTTCAACTTAGAAGGAAAACAGTAAAAGTCTGTAATGAAAGTAACATCCGGTGTTTTCACATTTCTTTGCTAAGCTTTTCTCCAAGACCACTGCTGCACTACACAGCCTCCTCTGGATTCGCCTCTTTCTGCAAAGGCAGCATCTGAAGGAACAGTAAAGTAAAATAAGCATAAGTCTTTCTGAGTGCAGTACAAGCCTATACAGAAACAGCACAGACAGCACTGATGAAAACCTAAAAGAATTAGAGTGAATTTTACAAGTATTAATTCCTTATCTTTACACTAAGTGGGGACAGGTTTGTTTAGAAAGTATCTGAAAAAAAAGACTCCTTTAAACAAAAATCATTTATTTCCTCAATGAGATAGGAAAAGGGGCAACAGTATTAGCCCATCCAGCCCAACCTATCCTCAGGTGGGAGGGTAAGAAGCATTACTTACCGATCGCGACTGCTGTGCTTGGAAAGGAACAAACTGCCCTGGAGGTGGCAAGTGAGGAGGATGGTGTGGAGAGAGGTGGGGAGGGTGCAAAAGGAACGGCTCGCTAGAAATGAGGGGTGGGAATGCTGCATACGGTACTGGTAGGTGCTGGACCGAACATGCCTGAAGCATCTGAAACAAAAATGACAACAAAGTAAAACTTATTTTTGCCGCTGGAATGAAAATATCTGGAAGGGAAATAGAATATTTCCTACATTTTCTAATAAGCAGTAACAAAAAACAGAAGTTTTCCTTACACCTTGAAAGAAGCCTTCAGAACACATAAAAACAGTAACTCAGACACATATACAGGGCAAAATGACCGATGCAGACCAGGTTCTACAAATACGATGGTGTGTCCCCAGGCATCTGCAAAGTGTCATTCACTGCAGATTAGTTCAATGGGAGCTGGGGTTCACTGCTGCCTACCATCCTGAAACACAATTCACAAGCTCTGTCCAGTTCAGTGCTCTGAAATCCTTCATGCTCTGAAGCACAGAGCACTGCAGCGGGCAGCCAGGAGAAGCTGTGGAGTCTCCTTCTCTGGAGATCTTTGGGCCCTGCTTGGACGCAGCCTGTGCCACGTGCTCCAGGTGACCCTGCATGTGCAGCGGGCTGGACTGGATCATCTCTGGAGGCCCCCTCCAGCCTTAGGGATTCTGTGATTCTATGTGAGCAAGAAGAGCTACTGTAGGAAGGAACCTTTTCTCCCTCTCCCCTCTAAAGTTCCTCATGCAAAAGCATTTTGAACTATGTGAGTGGTGAAGGCAGTGTAGGGGAGCAGAAATATACTTAATGCAAGCCTTCATTTACTCTTCCGGCTCTGCAAATGGAGGAATGAGAAGAAATGCCTTTTCTTTTTCCTGCTCCTTAAGGAATGTTCAGGTATGTTCCTTCTGCATTTTTCACCATTAAAGGAGCACCTAAGACTAAATTTGTTAGTTGTCAAACTACCAACACCACCTTGGCTTTATGTGAACAAAAGATAATTACTATAAATTAAAAAGGTCATTTTTGTTTTTAATATCCCACTGGAGAAGCATACATAATTTGGTAAAGTCATGTACAGGACCCACTGCTACTCTCCCAGTTTTTGTCAGTCAGGAGTAACACAACAAACTGAACATATAGACTATAATGACCACACAGCAATAACAGATCTAGCTTAAAACCACATTCAAAGAGTTAAAGTGGAATCACCACCTCATTTACTATGGTCAGGACCCTCAAGAAATCCCTACTTGCCCTGAAACAACAGCAGATTAATCTGATCTATATCTATTTTTTTAAATGTACCACCATTTTCTAAAAAATAAAATAAAATAATTAAAAAATCAAAGCTAAATTTATCAATAGTTAAAATATTTTTATCATACTTAATAAACCGAAGTGAATTTCAGTAAATTCAAAACTCAGTTCAGTTCAGAAACCAAACGGAAGGTAAATTTTCAGGTCCAATGCCACGGTGTTTGAGAAGGATTAGTGCTATGGAGAGGTATAAAAGACCAATTGCTTTAATGGTCCCTCGAGTGACCTCACACACACTGGATCAGCTATGTGGGAAAGCGGACCATACCTTGCACCCCCACACCATTACGTGAGGACCGGAGGCCGCTGTCACCGCGGGTGCACATCTGCACCAGGACCAGTGCCACCAGCTGCCCACTGTTAGGGCCGGGTGCCGCTGCACTCCCACTGGCTGCTCCCAAGCAGAGCCACGGGCACCGGGACGGGCGCAGCGCGACACCTCCGTGCAGGAGCTCCCCCAGCAGCGTTGGGTACGCGGGGCCCCTCCACACACCTCCTGCTCGTGTGCATAGCAAAGCGACGGCAGCCAGTCTCGCGGCTACGAGACACCGCGCTGCAGGGCTGGGGTTGCAGGACAGGGGCTGCGGGGCAGGCGCAGCTGCGCTCCAGAGCATGGCAGCCTGCAGAAAGAGGCCAGCGAGAGCTCCGCAGAGCTCGGGCAGGAGCACACGAGCTCTTGCCGTGGGGCAGCAGAGCCCACGCAGCAGGATGGGCTTGGCCGAGTGCGCGGCAGTGCCGGGAAATGCGGACGGTTCTGCCCCAAGGCGAGTGTTGCAACGCGCTCATGCGTCCAGCAGGACCCACGGCCGTCGCGCTCCAAGGGCACAGCTAGGGAGTCATCCCCCTCTGTCTGACACCTGTGAGACTGAGCTCCTGCGCCTGGCCCTGGGCTTGCGGGTACTAGAGAGCACCACCTACTGAAATGGGTCCACTGAAAAGTCAGCGATGAGGTTGCTGTAGAAAGCACAGAGAGACCCTGTGCTATTCAGCTTGGCAAGCACATTAGTATCTGTCTTCAGCAGGTGTGTGCAAAAATCACCTCTTCTGGGAGCAAGCAGAGAAAGTATGACAAGGAAGGAGAACAAGCTCCAGCAAAGGATTTCCAGCCACAAACACCAGACAAAAAGTTTCATCAGTGAAGGGGGTGAGCATTAGTATGCAAGCTTAAATGACTCTGATTTTCCATCCTTGAAAACTGGCTGTGCTCTGAGCGGGCACATCCAGAGCTCCCTCCTAACTTACATAATTCTTTGATTCTGTGACATAATAGGAAAAAAAAATATGGTCCACTTGCTGATGCTACAAAGTTTCAACTTGGGAAATATTTCATATTCTGTCACACTGCACCCATTCTCTCAGTGAACTCTTTAGTGAGCAAGGTTAGATGGAATTAACACAAATTCATTCATGTCTATGTTAAGAGTAAAGCTGCACTCCCGAATTCTGAAATATTTACAGACTGCACAGTTAGGAGCTACAAGAATTACCAGCACCCATACTCTGATGTTTGGATTGCCTTAGAACCCAATATAAAGCTTGGGAAGACTTCTTTCAAGTTGTTGCTTGGTGTTTCTTAGGATATGCTGCATTCTTGCCTTGATGAAGCCACTGAGCAAGCACTAATCCACACACACGTGCTCCAAGAGCACGCTGCCTCACAGAGCAAGGTCAAGCAGCAGAAATGCACAATTCTTCACACAGAAAGAGTAACCAGAAGAAAAAGTTCTCTCTCATCCTGCTGCAGGGATACACAGGGACAGCTGTTCACTATTTCGGAAGGCAAGGTGAGACCCTGGGTGCTTCGGCCTGGCCAGCAGCCTCTGCCTGGGCAGCACGAATGCAACGCTGTTTCTCCTCCAGCCAGCCTCTTCAGCCAGGGATAGTTAGGCTGGGACTAGCCATTTGAGCAGAGAAACAGGAATCCACATCAAGAGTTTCTACCCGCTGCCGCAGGCTTCTTCGTGGCTTTTGGTCACAAAACTACACTTAACAGGACCATGGGAAGGGTGAAGCCACAGACTGCTAGCAAGTGTCCAGGCGGCAAAGACCCATGTATATACAGCATACAGGTGACCACTCCTTGGTCAAATCTGGGGTATTAACCCAGTGGGAATAACCACCAGCATCACAAATAGCTACCGGGCATCACACATGGCTTCTAAATTTTATTAGAGAGCGATGCTAGAAACGGAGGAGCCGCTGCAGCCCTGGTGGGCGCAATGCGGTCTCCGCCTCGCACAGGCAGACAGCCCAGCGGGGACAGCTCCACCCCGGGCCCCGTCGAGATCTCCACGAGGGGCCGGTCCATGAGAGCGCCACTGAAAAGCAGTACCTCCCAGGAGGCATGTGAAAACTGATGGAGAAGCAGCTTACATCCTTCCACATTTGAATTCGATAAATCAGTTCCTGATGTCTCGAAGAAAAACATCATTATTAAAAAACAATATTTTGACTCATTTTGAGAGCACATTGACAACACAATTTAGCTCTTTCTGATTCTTCACAATCTTACCACTGCTCAGGAACAACAAACAAACAAAAAACAGCTGACTATGGACAGGGGGTACTGATCCTCTCTGCATATAACCAATCCCTGTGCAAGGTCTCTTCATCTCAGTAAAATTTCTTGGTGAGCTGCCTCATAGGCTTTAAACATCTGGAAATATACACAATATTTGCTGATAAGAGACCAGATCAAAAACCAACATTTATGTGGAATGAAAAAATACATCAGGCTGAGGTGCCACAACTTGCAAAGCAACCAGGCAAGCGCCATACATTTGCCAGCTCTAAGGCCTAAACTGTTAGACACCATTGCAATTTGCCACAGGAAATAAAGGTTTTCTCCCGTGAAGCACCAAGGTGCCACCACATGTCTACGATGAAAGTTGACCTAATCACGGAATTGCACTTACGTGGGGTGGCCCGCTGCAGACGGGAAGGTGCTGCCCACTGAACACCACGGAGCAAGCCGGGACCTGCTGCGCGCTGCAGGCCGGGATGTGCTGGCCCGTGCAAAGTGGGATCCCGTGCGGCGCCACGGTGGTCACTGTGTACGAGACCGGCACTGGGCCTTGAAGCTGCAGCGAAAGGAAGAACAGGGCTTAATTAAACGCCACTGTAAACTCCTCACAGCCTCAGCATTCACAGACTAACCTGCACCTCGCACAACAAAACACAGAGTACCCAGAGCTGTAATTCCTGTTCTTGAAAACATTCCTCTCAATGGAATGCTACTCTCATCACTGTGCAAGACCTGGAGAGATCTCTCAGCTTGAAAGGCTAAAGCCTCCAAGGCACCTTAGCATTCCAGCAGTGTCGCAAATTAGTGAGGCCCCCACACACCCTAAGGTCAGTCCTTATGAAATAAGATGGCTGTAATTAAAAGCCAATTGAAAAATATAAACTTCCACAGTAGCTAAAGAGGCAACTCTGGAAGGAAAACTGTTTGAGTGATAAGCCACAAACATCTTAATGAACACTAACTTTATATAGCCTTTCTTGCCTTCAAATAGGCCAATCTCTGATTCATGTTCAGATCAACAGTTATGGGATGTCTCTTAACCTGACTGTAACAGAAAGACAGCTGGAAAGCTGGAAAAGAGAGGGACTTGTAAACATTACTGAGGCAACAAATTACATGTCTGTGGACATCCTAGGAAAGACATCCAGGCACATAGATCTTATAGTTAGCAGTATTCTGTAGAATTTAATCAGAAAACAAAAGTAGATAGTGTTATGTACATAACATACTTTTTTTTTTGCAAACATCAACTATGAAATCTGACAATAACCCCACAGAAGTAGTGTCAAAGGAGCAAAAATCCACAGCAAGTAATTACTTCAAACCTCTCTCTTGCTTCATGATTTGCTAAAATGGAAACCACCTGCGAGAAATGAGAGAGAGAGTGCAGCTTACTACAACGCTAAGAATAAGTAAATTAAAGACTATTGACCTATTTAACTGGCCAACAGATGAGGCCAAAACAGGACTGGGGATCACTGAACTTCAAACCCAACCTCAAGCGACAGACCCTGCTCTCAGGAGACACACTGACTTTGGCTTAGTTCTGCCTCAGGAAGAAAAGCAGTTATTTTGTCAATGCAGTGCTGGATATGATTCAGAGGTATCCATTTCTCCCACAGGGCATGGAGGAATAAACTGACCTCTTATAGTTCTTTCCTCCCAGAATTAGCCTGCAGAAAATACTACCGTGGAAGACATCAGCAAGTTTGGAAACACTGACACCTGATGTAAGACGGTATCTGGAAGGTAAAGGCAGTGCCATGGTTTTTATCCAGACTTGCATAAAAGTCACTGTCATCATGTAATGTTAGCACATGAAGCAGGGCCACAATTTGTCTTCTGGAGATGCTGCTGCCCTAAGACAACTGCTCATCAAAACGGGAAGCTGCAAGAAACTACAGCATCTAACTAACTAGCAGGCTACTACTAACATCTAACTACTAACTGCTAGCTACTAACTACTAACTAACTACTAGTACTAACTACTAACTACTAGCATCTAACTACTAACAGGCTGCATGGTACCCTGGATCCTCCCTATGAGGAACGCTCTATCAGCTCCTCTTTTAGAGAGGATCTAATTATTTATTTTCTGGACCAGGTAGAGAGCTCATCTTTTCACCCCACTTACGGATGAATTCATTGAGGTTAGTCTGGCTGATGCAGTAATGAGAAACTGCTGTTACAAGTTCTGCAACTAAGCAGATGTTCAATTACAAGCACTATGATTCTACCTAAATAATGCGTTTTGGTATTGGAAAGCTTTACAGTGGAGGCACTCTTAAGAAGATATTCCTCATGCAAAACAAACCACCACCCACATCTCTAAGCCCGACCTGCTCATGAATGTCAACCACAAGAGTGTTCTGCTGTGGCGGATGAGCGGCAGGGTGCAGCAAGCGAGGAGACACGTTGGGTGCATGGAAGGCTCGTGGCTCCTCTGCTGCCGGCTGCTGCCCATAGGGGAGGTGGTGGAAGTTTTCATCCTGGTTAGCGGAGCTGTGTCGCGGCAGGCGGTCTCTCCTTGCCCTCTGACGCCGGACAGGAGGGCTACAAACACATCAAAGACGAGAGGAGATCACAAAAACGCCACAGAAATTCCTGAGCAACTACAAACACGTGAGTCTCCAGCACCATGAAAAACTGCTGGAATGGTTAGTCTGGAGTGTAATTTCTTACCAACAGAACTTCCAAAACCCAGTCAGTACTAATCAGTACTAATACTGACACTCACTTCAAGAGTGCTCGGCAGAATGTAACTGAATGCCCTAAGGGGAAACAGGCACTTAAATAAACACTAGTCCATTAGAACAACATCACTTGTGTTGCCAGGCCAAGTGCTTAGACATTGAGATGGCAAACTTCAGAAGCCCTCAGGAGGCTCTTGTGCACTTACGCCAGTCGAGAACTCTTAACTGCGGCCTTGCAGACCTTCCTGGGGTCCTGGCTCCTGCCGGGCACAAGATATTCACAAGATATTTACTGCTCACTGTGTAATGGCAGTAAAGACCGCTCTAAAGACACAGGCAATTCTTACATACTCACTAAGCGTGAGGAAGGAAACAGCTCTTGATAAACATAAACAATTCATATTAATATATATATAAATAACTGCACCTGAGTGCCAGGATGCTGCCCTTCGGATGGCCGTGCACATTCATCCCCTCCTCATTCCAACCTCTTCCTCCCACAGCACCTCTGCACTGGCTGGATTCAGCACAGCTCTCTGCTTACTCTAAAGGAGACACTCATGAAAAACTGCAAAGAAGTGTCTGTAACCTGCCTGAATGCCAGCCAAAACTGCTGCATCTAGTATGTAATGGGCCCTCTGGTTCAAAGCATTTTTGGGTGAAACAGACTTTGTGGGCAAGATACCCCCCCACTGGAGCAAAGCTGTGACAAGCTCTGTGGAAATCTGTGCCATTCTGAATGACACTGACTCAAAGACTTCGGGGCTGGGGGCTTGTGATGGAGAAATAAAACTCTATTTTTAAGCCTCTCACCTCAAACAATCACTGCATAACCATGGTTGACTTAACAAACAAAACAAAATTGAGTATTTTTAATCTAATGGCTAATATTGTGCACCCAAGAAAAAGCACAGTTACTAAAAGTTTAGTAGAAATCAAATCATAACACTTCTCTGAAGCCAACAGAGCAGTGTGCTTTAACTTGCATTAGGTAATTCAATGTTCTTGAGCCCAAGTATGGGAAGGTGACAGCTTGTGTTCTGGATAAATAACCTTAGTGGTAAAGAAATCTGTATTTTTATGCTTTCCTATGCTATCACCAATGTATCAGTTTAGTCAGACCATAAAGAAACTCTACTTTTCCACGACTAAGCCAACTTAATTAAAAAAATATCTCCATTTTGTGAGTTTTGAGACACAAGCTAAAAAACAAGACAGAAACACAATTCAAACAGCATGTGAACGACCACCTCACCAGCCACGCATGAGACTATTCTAACACCCTCTCTCCACCCAAACACATTCCCTTCATTTCAGCATTTTTCATGTAGGGAAAGGACTGAGCGCAATCAGAGCGAAAACCCCGGCACCACAGAAAAGCCCATGGCGCCCTGGCGAGAGGTGGGCCTTTCGGCTGTGGTTTCTCTTTGCCCCGTCTCGCTTTGCCCGCACGCTGGCGCGGCGCAGCGCGGCGCCGGGCCGAGGGGCCGCATCGCACCACGCCGCCCCTACCTCCTCCTGCTGCGTGCAGGCGTGTGGCACCGCTCCCCCGGGAAGAGGTGCTGGCCGGGCCGCGCTGCCGGCGGCTGCCGATGCGATGTCAGCTCCCATGGTCGCATGGGCGGCGAGGGCGCGGGCGACACGGGCGGGAACTCGAAGACCGTGTGGGAGAGGCGCTGTCTCTTGGGGCTGGGGCTGTCTTCGCTCTGCACGGGGCAAAGAGCACAGCGGGCAGGTGAGCGAGGCGCGAGGGCCGCCGCGCGCTGGGGGCCGCCGCGCGCTGGGGGCCGCCGCGCTCGGCCCGCAGGCCGGCTGACCCGCGAACGCAGACGCCTGAGCTGCCCTCTGCAGCCGCTGGCCGCCCTCTGCACTCCCCGCGCACAGCCGGCCTCGAGGCAGCACCTTCAACGCTCCCATCACACAAAAACGCTCTCTGAGGAGGGAATTACATTTCTTCTATCTTGAATAAGGTAAGTCCTATTTAACACTCTTCCCCTGGATGTTTACAGGCCACAGATATATAAAGCGATAAAATGTGTGAACACGTGGAAAGATCTGAGCACAGTATTTGTACCAGTGCCACACATCCCTGTCGGAAAGCAGCAGTCAGGGAGCTCTCAAGCCCCGCGCTGCGCCCAGTTCCTACACGAATGGCTTGATCTCTGCTGCGTTTAATTTTTAATTCCACGTCTGTTTCTGGCATGTGTCCTCAGGAAAGGAAGGCTCCTAAGAATGTAGTGCATACATCTGCTTGTTATCCAACCGCCTCTTTAACCAATTCCATGCGAATTCGAGAGGGCAAAACACTGCTCAAAAGACAGGCACGCTCTGCAAGCCCCACGAAGGCAGGTGCTGGCCACAGACACCTTCTGAAGGGCTTTTTCACATTCATATTGGCAGAGGATAACTCCAAACGTAGCAGACACGCAAACTGTCAGGCAGCTAAGCCATGCTGAGCACTGCCACCCCAAACAAGCCCCTGGCACTGTTAGCTCTAAGCTCTCTATTAAGCCTCCCTGTGCTATGTGTTAAGCAACTGCATTTTCACCCCAGGTAGTTTGCCATTAGGAAGTAAGCAAAGTCATCTTGGGTATAACATAACCATAGTATTAAATTTAAAGAGGCTTGTTTCTGCACAGAAAATAAAACGATCTGTACCTAAAACCAAGTTATTTGCAAATTGATGACATAAAAAAATAATCTTGGCCTTGATTAAGAAACCAATTCTCATGTGACAGCTGTAAACAAGGTTAAAACAGCACCTGGGCAAGTACATGGAGCTAACAATAGAAAAATCACAGAATCACAGAATCACAGAATGCTTGAGGTTGGAAGGGGCCTCTAGAGACCATCCAGTCCAGGCCCCTGCTCCAGCAGGGGCACCCAGAGCACGCAGCACCCGGTTGCATCCAGGCAGGTTGGGAAGACCTCCAGAGAAGGAGCCTCCACAGACTCCCTGGGCAGCCTGTGCCAGAGCTCAGGCACCCACACAGCAAAGAAGCTCTTGCTCACATGGAGGTGGAACGTTCTGTGTTTTTTCTTACACCCATTGCCTCTTGTCCTATCACTGGCCACCACTGAGAAGAGTTTGGTCCCCTCCTCCCTACATCCTCCCCTCGGGTACTTCTACATATTGATCAGATCCCCTCTCAGTCTTCTCCAGGCTTAACAGGTCCAGCTCGCTTACTCTTTCCTCATATGGGAGATGTTCCAGTCCTGTGATCATCTTTATCACTCTCTGCTGGACCTCCTCTAGAAGCTCCCTGTCCCTCTTGTGCTGGGGAGCCCAGAACTGCCTACAAATCCTTGCGTCTATGTCAGTGTCAATGTTATTATCAGTTTGCAAGTAAAACAGTTTATTAGGGAACCACACTATTTTCAGAAATCTCCAGAACACTTTTGTTCCATCTCGCTGATATGCAAAATGCTCGCTGGGACAACCACTGCTTCTTACAGCCATTTTACACTGTCTTTCCCTATTTCCAACAAACAACAAGAGCAGAGCACCTAATAGCTGCCATGAACATCACACCCAGCTCTTACCTAGTAAGGGGAAAGTACTACCTTATTTGAAATATTAATTCGAGAAAAAGAAGAGCACTTATACAAACTGCTCGATATTTAAAGGCATCTGCTTACCACTAGCAGGAGATGAAAATTAATGTCAGGATATAAGAAGTGAATCTCATCCCCAGATGTCATAAAAACTTTCTAAAATCTGTGTATCATCTCAGACAGTTCACAGGGAGATACACCCCGCACATCTCCATGCCTGAGGGGATCTCAGCATGCAGCATTGCCAGAGGTGATTAGAAAGCATATTTACTCATAAAATACCCTTTAGCAGAGACGTATTGCCAGAAAAAGGGAAGGCACGTTGAGTGTTTTTTCATTTTTTTCTCTCTGATGGTATGTCTAAAAGCTGTTCCAACCTGTATCTTTCCTGAAGACTGCAACACACCTCAAGGTGTTCCTGTGTTCCAGGTAAACGAGTGTCACAGATAAACAAGCTAACTAGAAGGTCAACCACTGCAGAGGAAGATTACCACCAAGAATGACTCCTGCCCACGTCTCAGACCCAACGCCACGCGCCATCCTGAGGGAGGCTCAGGTGCCTGGGGCTCAGCAAAGCCCGCCTGCAAGGTGCAAAACACAGCAAGCAACGCGACACTTTCAGAAAATGAAGGGGGGCATCCCCCAAACCCACATCTTAAAAGCAAGGAGAGTTTTAAGGCAACTAGAACCTTTCAATAGAGCAGAGCAACCTACGCAAACTTCCCAGTACAAGGCTAATGTGGTTATTACACTTCTTAAGAACTCCCATAGGGAACTATAGGAATAGTTCCCGTAGTATGGGAATTCCATCGTATGGGAACAGGGAACTAAAGATGGCAAAAGTCTCCCTGTGGCTGATATAAGAAGTCTCAGAAACAGTCGCCTCAAAAAGTCGACTCTGGCTGTCTGGAACAGTATTAATCTCACTTCGAAAGTGGGACCCTTTAGTTTTCATTCCATTAAATGCAATCTGAAAAAAAGCAATCTGAAATACTTCAGACCGACCAGAAAGTGCAAAGCATCCTACTTAAACAGTAATCATCTATGAGATAGAAAAGTGAGCCAATTTAGGTCCTAAAATGAGAAAAGAACAGCTGTTCCTCTCAACTGCATTTTTAATTGCAGTATTTTGCAGCAGCTTCTTTTACTTGCATTTTCAAGCTGCAATCTTCTCTTCCTGAAAATGTAACTTCTGATCTCAAGCACAAACTTGAGCTAAAAAAGTTTAAATATATTAGACAAACTTCTCATTCTTTGAGCATTTATAAAGTCTCTGGCACTCTGTGCAATGGTCTACACAACAAAGAAGCATGTTTTTAATCTTCTTTCAAAGCTGTTTTTGCTGAAAGTTTTGCAAGATACTAACAAGGTCTGCATTTCACGGTAGCTCTTGTCTACCAGGGGTGCCAAAACAGATCTTTGACAGCTTAGGAACTGTCCATAACCTGCACCATTACCAACGACAGGGTGACTATCCCATTCCAGATCTCCTAAGGCCATGATACTCAGCCATGGAAAGCAGAGGGGCTCTCTCAGTATAAGGACTGTGGCGGCAGCTCATCTCCTTCTTCCTCAACGACGTCGGAAACACTGACTTCACAAACAAAACATTAATAATGTGTCTGTGGTTTCGTTTCAGGCAGGAGAGGGCAGGAAATAAACCATTTTGTACATCAGAGACCAGAAAGCTGAGCAACATCACTTTCAGACTCAGTGAAAAGTAATTCCAGAATCTTAATAAAAAATGAATTTTCCTTGTTTCTGTGAGGAAGGCAAATGAAGCCACTCAGCATCTCACCGAAACTTCCTTCCCAGGAAATGGAGGACACCTTCCCTTCCCCTCCACAAACTCCTGTCAGAAGCCAAGATGGCCAAGGTTTCTCCTTGACTTAATTCACTGTATCCTGAACAAAGCTTTTTTTCCAGAACTCTTTGTGGGAATTAATAAATCCATCAGATTTTGTGGGGTTTTTGGTCCACCTTGGAGGAGATCTTGCCTCGCAGACACAACCACCATCTAATTTATGCATCTGTCACAAGAACTTCAGAGGTTTGTTACAGCTTTTCTTTTTTTTTTTTTTTTTTTTTGTAGACCAAGCTGCAATGTCCTGCCACAGCTGCAACCCCTGTTAAGATCTCCTTTGTACAAAGGTTTCTCTGATCTCCAAAACGGGGAGCTCAACCTGCAGCACACGTGTCAGCCCTGGCCTGCCTGCATGTCCCTACAGCCTCTTCCACGTCACCCGTGTTTTCTCAATGCTGCTTGGGGTGATGTGCTGTGAAAACAAGCAAGGGCCTAAGAGGTTTCCATCTGTTAGACACATCCCCTGATAAACAAAGCGCTGGACAGAATAATTCTTCTGCTCATAGTGAGCAGCAAGAAAATACTGAACAAAACGTTTTATTTATAGGTCAAAATGTTAATAGAAAAGATGAAGAAAAGTAAAAGTGTTCTTTTAACTCCTCCTCATCACTTTCCATGTTCATAAAGGTAGTTTTACATAATTATACTATGCAAGAACTTACAGCTCCATGTCACCACTTCTTGTGATGTGCCCTGTTCTGAGCTGCAAAACTGAGGCACTCAGGCCCATTTCTCCGGGCCACAGAGTGGATCTGTCAGCCTAGAAGGATGAGGAGATCTGCCACGCATCACCTCCCACGCATGGAAAATCCCTGACTCCACTATGGAAGGAAATTTATCTTGCTGCATTCAGAACGGGAGGCTCAGTAGCTAATATCTAGGAATACCACTAAATTTTCAGAGGGAATTTAGTGCTAACAATTCAAACCCACTAAAATCTTCTCACCAGTGATAAGAATAGAAAAGGTCTTCAGGTTAATGAAAGATCTAATTCTTTGTCACTTTTTTTTTAAACGTTGTGAATCAAAGGAATAAATATAAAAATACTAGTCTCTTACACAAAACGCAACTTCACAAAAAAGACCTGGTAAAAAAACTGTCACCAGAACATAAAACTCAACAAGTTTACAGTAAATATCCCCAAAAGAACCACCTTCACTTAGTGAACCTAACAGATTTTTATTAAAAAACAGACAGCTACCAAAAAAAAAAATTTACCTCTTTTTAAAAAGCAAGGATAAAATCAAAAGGTAAAGTAAATTTAACAAATACTCTGTGTTTT